CATATAAAGAAATATTTTCTTAAAAAAACATTAGATAAGTTTAGAATCTGTAAGGTGATTTCTGATGAATTATATGAAAACTATCTTCTCTTTAAAATGTGCTCATTTATCCATGATGATGGTTATATAGTTGCTAACAATAAAGGCTGATACATTTCCTTTGGCTTAGTAGTGGATGCTTGTTCACCAAGACAATGCACAGCAGCTAAAGCTACATGTGAGCCTCTGTTGTTACATGGTGTGGGGAAAATGTGCAGTTTGCATGATACAGATTTTTGAATTTAACATATCTGTACTGAAACAAGCAGAAGTTATAGGAATGGAATTCACTAAAAAGCAATTATATCAACATACATCTTCAGTTTCTGAACATTTGTGCGTTGTGAAACTGATCTAATATTGGTGGGTTTTTTGTTTGTTTTTCTTTCTATCTTTTTTTTAATGGACTCCTGAGACTGTCAACAAGATGCTGCTGCTGATGATCATAAATTTGTTAACAAGATTATGAGATTATCTTTATTTGAAAAACATCCTTCTAATTGTTCTTTTAATTACTAGTTTGTTAAAATGAACTTAACATCACATCTGAAGTTCACTTTCTTTATTGTCACAATGTTGCACACATTGAAACACTAGCTGCAGTTCCCCTTTAATGAAAAGCTCTGAAACACAATATTGAAAATAAAAGTGATGTATTTTTTTTCTTTTCATCAGTTTGAATGCGCTGACGTAGTATCAGTACTTGTCATTTCTCAACACTAAATGCTTTACATTTCATATGCTGAGAACTAGAACAACCCTGTTAAGCTTTCCCTTATCCATAAACTACTTGAAGCTGGCTTTGTCATGATGGTAGGTATCATAAAAATCACAGTTTGTGTGTCACAGGTAAAGCTTAAGAATCACTGTTAGTAGCAGAAATGCATGGTTGTATATGAAACCCCTTTAAAGCATGTGTAATATTGGGAACCACTTTTAAGTTATCCATCTATATTTTGTATCAGGGCATTGATTTGAATCAAGAAATAACTGAATTAAGCAGATACTGAGGCTGTACCTAGTTTTGTGTTCAATGTTGGGCATTATCATATCCCACACTGACCTTTGCCCACAATGAACAAATACCCAGCAATCAGTGCTGCAGGCCTGATAAATAATCTCATAATTGAAGTCTACATCTGAGATTTGCAGGGAGTGTGAAGCATACAGTATCAGCCTCTCACAGCTGCGCTTTGATAGATGCTCTGTGTACACCTCCTCACCCAGGCGCTAGGACAACATGTTTGTTTGCTTGTTCATCACACCCCTCAGTCTTTGTACCTAACTGCCCCCTGACACAGAGATATATCACAGGTCCCACACACTGCTGCCCGCTGCCAACATTTCTATTCTGTGCACCTGCGTGTGTCTGCTTATCTAAATAAAGTATCAGCTTCTGTTTTAATCCTTGCTGCGATGTGTGCCTTCAACTAGGTCCAGCTTTAGAGAACTGAAATTTTTAGGCAATTAGCAGCTCATACACATCAAATGAGGTAAAATATTAATAATTGGCGCCCATAAAAAAAGTCTCAGTTTGCTCTGATTTACCATTCAACTATACAAGCCTGTTCTTGATTGTAATTTTTCGTTGACAAATGAGTGATCTAACGACCCCCTGAAATAGAGGGGGATGACATCCTAGTGTGGACTAAGAGGCAGCACTTAAAACCATGATTAAATAATTAATACAGCTTTTATACCCATTTTAACACCTCCAAATTATGGTTGGCCATATATTTGAGACACAGCAGCCAGAGAAGACCATGTCAGCAAAAATTTCATGTACAGTAAATCTTTGTAAGGGTGGAGCCGGGAGGCTGCAAATCATGTGTGAGGTGAGGGATGACATGAATGTAACCTTTCCCCCCTTTTTTATTCTTATCAGGCGGTGTGGAAGCACATGCACATACATATACACTCGCTTCACACTGAAGTCTTTTGACCTTTGAATCACTTTAATTTGATTTTATCAGTGGAATTGTGGTTCTGGTTGTGTTTTTTAGCACAACTACAGAAGAGGAAATCCAACAGTAGGTGGCACTGTATAATAATGCTACACAGAGAGAAGCCGGTGGTAACAAACCACACTACACACTCCTTAACCTGCATGGTTTATTCTCCATTTAATCCACCTTCCTGATATAAAGATGACCGTACAACGACCTTAGACACACAACCAAACACAAGACTTGTTTGCATATGGCCAATAGCAACACAGAATCATCTGTGAAAGTTGTTGCTGATTCTTCCTGAGTTTTTAATCCTCCTCTAGATGGCACCATGGTCCATGAAAAGATGGACATTTTTTTTTTTTTTTTTTAAATCTTATCACCTTGCAAATGTCAAACAATATTCCTCAGCACTAAATTATTATTTCCCCTTGTGTCACATGTCTCACTACTTGATTATCTGCAATCATCTCGAAACAGTAATCATATTTGTTTTGCTTAATTAATGCAAT